ATCGGGTTTCAACCAAGTTGGGGTTCTGTTTGATTATGTATTAGCTTAAAATGTTCGGGCTTGTCGCTTACAGCACTTGTATTTGTTTGAATATCTTAATGAATATGCTTTCATTTTATAACCTCTAGTTACACTGACTGTATTGAGACGAACATTTATTTTCTGATTTATATAAACCTTCTTTGTATATCGCAATATAAGCTATAAACTACAGTTTTCGTGCATTTAAAAAATATCAATTCATTGCACAATAATTATGTGGAGCACATTGTTAAGTAATAGAAAGGGCACCGAAACACGAGGCTATCTGATTTGTACGAGGGGGCGTAGCCCTCGAGTATAAATCAGATTGCCGAGTGTTTTGGTGTTCTTTCTCTTTTGTATCACAGTCAAACATAAAACACGTTCCCTGCTGTCACAATATAAAACCCCGGGAAAAAGTAACCAATAAACGAGCATCTGAATATGATATTTCTGTCGCTTTTCCCTTTCCCTTTGCACTCCAGTTAACGCACTGTACATGTATATGTGTACGATTTAACTCTGACACATTTTCAACAGATAAGTCCCCAAACTATGATACAAATTATATTACTGTTGCAGTTTCTTTTCTCAATGCCAACTGATAACGGATAATGTTCGCACTTTAATTAATATAACAATATAGAATGATAGCCAATGCAAGATATGATCCCGCTAGTTTTTTGGGGCGCAAGCCCCCGGTGTAATTACGATAAATTCAGCTTACTATGGTTTGAACGCATTTAGGCTATCTGCGCGGAGCAAAAATAGTTCCAATATTTTTTTAACAGTGTTATTATTTATAGCTTTAGATAAATTTGAATTTTCTAAAACCGTATTTTTGACTAGATTTTTCGAATGAAAATTTGTAAAATAATTAATGGATAAAGGTTCTGACACATTATCGTTATAAGCAATATTGTTGGTCCTTAATTTCTTTTTGATTTTTTTTCTATTAATCATTGACACGTCCTTTACAAAACAAAAGGGCCAAGGTGGCCCTAGACCGGTCACCTGACCCATCCTTAAATTGTTGGTCAGGCGATATAAAAAATATCAGAAGTAGGTCAGCTGACATCAAAATTAGAGCCCTGGTTCAAATGTCAAAAAAAAAAAAAAAAAAAAAACAAGAAAGAAGGTCAAATGATACCAAAAATATCAAAAGGAGGTCAGATATTAAAAAAAAATCAACTCGCCATCACATAATGCACTCTTGGTCCAAATTCAATGCCTGTAAACCAAGAAAGTAGGTCAAATGATATCAATACCATCAAAGGTCAACTGATATCAAAATTCTATTTGACATCAGAAATTACATCCATGGTCCAAATTTCAAGCCTGTACATCAAAAAAGTAGGTCAAGTAATATCAAAAATAACAAATTAAAAATAGGCCAGCCAATATCAAAATTCGATTCTGCATAAGAAATTGCAACCCTGTGTAAACAAGGTTTTCCATATTTGGGCGGTATAACCTAGTTTTTGACCCAAGGTGACCCTATATTCAAACTTTACATAGAAATCATCAAAACAAACTTTCATACCAATTTTCAGGATATTTGGATCAAATAGTAGCCACTAGAGTGTAAACAAGATTTTCTTTAGCTCATGTGACCTAGTTTTTCATTCGAGATGACCAATGTTTGAACTAATCCGAGCAATTGCCTAGACAAGCATCCTAACCAAGATTGTTGACAATGAGTAAAACATGTGACCACTAAATTTTAACAAGATATTTCCATACTAGGGCGGTGTGACCTAGCTTTTGACACCAGGTGACCCATATTCGAACTTGATCTTGAAATCATCAAAACAAACTTTCAGGATATTTTCATCGAAACAGTATCCACTAGAGTGTGAACAAGATTGTTTTTTAAGCTCCTGCGACCTAGTCTTTCATACGAGATAATGCATGTTCAAACACATCGGAGCAAATACCTAGACCAGCATCCTGACCAAGTTTGAGGACAATTGAGTGTTTAAATGTTACAACTATAGTGTTAATAAGTTTTTTGGGCGGTGTCAAAATATAATTTCAGACTTATTTTGAGGACATTTGGATCAAAACAATAGGAACTAGAGTGTTAACAAAAATTTTCTATTTTTAGTTCCTTAGACCTAGTTTATCATCCAAGGTGACCTATGTTCGAACTCATTTGAGCGATAAACTAGATTAGCATCCTGATGTGACCATTAGCATGTTATTAAATGTTTTTCTATATTTGAGCGGTGTGGCCTAGTTTTTGGCCCCAGGTTAAACATATTCAAACTTGATTTAGAAATCATGGTAACAAACCAATTTCTAGGATATTTGGATCAAAACAGTAGCCACTAGAGTAATAATAAGATATTTTTTAGCTCCTGTGACCTAGCTTTCATCCGAGATGACCAATATTCAAACTCACACAGGCAATATCCTAGACAAGCATTTTGGTTCAGATTGATGACAAATGAGTAAAAATGTGACCAGCAGAGTATTAACAAGGTTTTTTATATTTTTAGCTCCTGTGACCTAGTTTTTCAACCGAGATGACCAATGTTCGAACACATCCAAGCAATTACCTAGACAAGCATCCTGACCAAGTTTGATGCCAATTAGTAAAATATGTGGCCACTAGATGTTAATAAGATATTTCCATACTAGGGCGGATGAGTTTGAACATGGATTATCTCGTATGAAAAACTAAGTCAAAGGAGCTAAAATAGAAAAAATACTGTTAACACTCTAGTGGCTAGTGTTTTGATCCATATATCCTAGAAATAGGCCTGAATGTTTGTTTTGATGATTTCTAAGTCAACTTTGAAGATGAGTCATCTAGGCTCAAAAATAAGGTCAGAACACCCAAATAGGGTGAAACCTTGTCAAAATTCTAGTGGTATTATTTTTGACTTAATTGCCATCAAACTTGGTCAGGATGCTTGTCGGACGGGTCATCTCGGATAAAAAAAGGAAGTCACAGGAGCTACAAATAAAATAATCTTGTTAACACTCTAGTGGCTACTGTTTTGATCAAAATATCCTATAAATTTGTGTGAAAGGTTGTTTTGATGATTTCTATATAAAGTTCGAATATGGGTCATCTAGAGTCAAAACCTAGGTCACAACACCCAAATAGGGGTAAAACCTTGTTAACACTCTAGTAGTCACATTTCTGACTTAATTGTCATCAAACTTAGCCAGGATTGGACGACAAACGACGGACATTCAACGATCCTAAAAGCTTTCCTTGAACTAGCTCAGTCAAATCGTGTGAGAAGTTGACCTGTTAAATAGTCATCCAATCAGTTCTTTCAGTACTTTGATTAAACAAGCAAAACACAAAAAAACATAACCGGGAGTCGAAAACTAGGTCCCACCACCAAAATATTGAAAAACTTTGTTAACACTCTTGTGATCACATTTGTTACTCAATTGTCATCAAGCTTGGTCAGGATGCTTATTTAGGTTATTACTCTAATGAGTTCGAACATGGGTTATCTCGGATGAAAAACGAAGTCACAGGAGCTAAAATTTGAAAAATCTTGTTAACACTCTAGTGGTTGATGCTTGATCCATATATCCTAGAAATTGGTCTTAAAGTTTATTTACATGAATTCTTAGTCAAGTTTGAATATGGGTCACCTGGGATCAAAAACTAGGTCACATCGCCCAAATAGGGTAATACCTTGTTAAACACTCTAGTGGTCACATTTTTTACTTAATTGTCATCAAACTTAGTCAGAATGCTTGTCTAAGTAATTGCTCGGACGAGTTCGAACATGGGTCATCTCGGATGAAAAACTAGGTTACAGGAGCTTAAGATTGAAAATTATTGTTAACACTCTAGTGGCTACTGTTTTGATCCATATATCCTAGAAATTGGGCTGCAAGTTTGTTTTAATGATTTTTAAGTCAAGTTTGAATATGGGTCATCTGGGGTCAAAACCTAGGTCACAATACCCAAAATAGGGCAAAACGTTGTTAACACTCTAGTAGTCACATTTCTGACTTGTCGTCAAACTTGGCCAGGATTGGACGACAAACGACAGACATTCAACGATCCTAAAAGCTCACCTTGAGCTAGCTCTAGTGAGCTAAAATATAATTAGCAGTGCCTATATTTAAATTGCTGTATTGTTTGACTACTAAGAAGAATGCTATAGTTTACAGTAATTTCAGTTTTGCTTTGTTTTAATGATTTGTCTTTTTAATTTCGATGACGGATAATTAGGTTTGTTAAGTTCTTTTGAACTCTATTTTTGCTATTCAAAACCCAATTCAATAGTCAGTCCCAATGGGCAGTCAAATCGTGTGAGAAGTTGACCTGTTAAATAGTCATCCTATCAGTTCTTTCAGTACTTTGATTAAACAAGCAAAACACAAAAAAAACATAACCGGGAGTCGGAAAATATAAAATAAAAAGACATCAAAAGAAAAACACACTCTAATCCAGGTTCCTATGGATTTGATATTAAATGCATTCTTAAAACAGAAATAATGTCTCTACAGAGTTTGTAATGCAGAAACGGTATAAAGTCATGAAGTCATGAAGCGTTATAAATAAGGACAATTTGACTTCAGTGAGACGTTTTAACATAAATTCAAAACTCTTTATGTAAAATGTAGCTTTTGTAATATCAAAACATTTGTCTGTGTAATTATAAAATATGACCATAACTTATTGTCTAGAAGTAAAACAACAATTCTGATTAATGCGAGTTCCAACTAATGTATTTCTTGGCATTTCATGTTTAAATGTGAAACCAAAGCAAAACTAACCTATTTACATGCTTTTACAAAATGTTTGTTAAATTAATTTTAGAAATCGTACAATTCAAACAATTCAAATTATTCAAAAATGATAAAACTCACCGTGCTGATTTCCTCCGCCATTTTGAATGTCGTTGTAATTCAGCCAGAGGAAAAATTGAAAAGCGTCAAAGGATATCGCGTGATGGGCGTTTACCTACTTTTGATTGGAAGGAATACTTGTATAATAATGCACTTCGAATTCTAAAAGCTATACTAACCGTCTTAAATATTCCTGTAAGGTGTTACATAACATAAGAAAATAGTAACAATCAAGAAAATCAAAGAAATGGGAGGTAAGGTAAGTACAATTTTAGTTATGGTTACTGAAGTTTTGAGCATTGTTTCATTTTTTACCGATTTTTGTTATCATATGTATGTATATTTATAGTTTTTTTTCCAATTCAGAAGTTTTGTCAAAACAGATATAAACTTGTTTACACTTTTTTTAAACGTTTATCATCAACCTTATACATGTAATTACACACTTTTGAAAATATGTGCTACATAAGAGTTCAAACAAATAAAGTGGCAAAACAAAATTTAAGGTATAGATGATTCTAAAATATAAAATCTGAACTTTTAAAATCAAAGTACTTCAAAAATAGAGTAAAAATATTTTATTGTAGAATGTTGAATATTACTAGAGTTTGTTAAATATTTTAAACTTTATTGTATTTTGAAGTTAAGTTATGGAACTTCATAAGAAAATCTGACATTTAAGTATTGTAAATTATGTCTTAAAATTACAAATATAATTAATAGATTCGACCGGGAAAAAAATCATAAACGAAGGACGTCCTGGTAATTCTGTGCCTGTATTTCTATACTTATTATACCTTATGTGTATTTTTGTCAGAGACTGTCTACAACTTTGCTACTTATGTACTACTTTTTGACCAAGTATGGGAAACGCATGAATTCTGCTCATTGTTGAAAATAGTTCTTTAGCTCGGAAGTATCGGTCGATTAAGTAAATAGCTTTTTTCGTCCTACTCTTTTTTTGGCTTTACTTAATATTAGCAATATACAATATCACTACGATGCTTAAACGTAAATATGAACTTCAATCATGTTTTTAATCATTCACACAACTTGTATTTATTAAACTGATACACGAACTCAGTCTCTTACAATATATCCCGACATAAAATGCATGTATGTGATAAAAAGATTTAATGCATGCATTTTTTGTTATTTGAACACGGACCATATAGACTATAATCTCATCTCAAATTCCATTTGTATAGATCCTTTCATTTTAGCAATAAACGTCGAATTACGTAAATGGGGGATTATTCTATACTACCGCTTCGAATGTAAGATAATTTAAGCGTAGAGAAAAATCAAGCAATTATGAATATAATTTGAAAAAAATACTTATGCATACATGACTTCCATTTATTTCATGTTTTCCAGTGTTTTATTGTAATATATCAGATGATTAAATTCTGATAAACCACTAGTGAAATTTATAAAATATAATGTTCACTGTAGCCGAACTATATCTGAATGCGGATGAAAAGAAAATCATAACTAAGTGGAATAACGGGCAGAATTAAATGCCGTCATGCGTAAATTTTGCTTCTTTAGGAAAAGAAAGTCGATGTCGCCATACATCATGTTAAAAACGTAACAAAGTTAGAGGAATTTAACAGAACTATATTTCAAAATTGATGATGTGACGTCATGATGTGATGACGTCAAAAAGGAGAACGCGCGACGTTACGCGGCAAAATCAGTAAAAATTACTTAAATTCACTAAAAAAAAGCATGAAATAAAAAGAAAATTTATTTGTTTTACATATAAGATTGAAATATATTTCATTCGTGAACACCAGCTATTATATTTTCACTCGTGGCTACGCCACTCGTGAAAATATTGCATCTGGTGTTCACTCAGTGAAATTATATTTCAATCTTACATGCAAAACAAACAAATATCCTCTATATAATGACAATAAAAAAAAATACTTTACATTGATTTTCGTTATGGGGGACATTACTCGAAATATTATATGAAAATCAGCGAAATTTCAAAAATGAATATTTTACGATTTTTCTTGAAACTTTTACAACTTTAAATTCGCAACGTTAGTTAGATAATTAATTTTAATGTTACAAATCTATTTTTATGATTATAAAAGTAAGTGGTTAATCTGTATGTCGTAATACATTGCTTAACAAGTTTTCTTCATGAAAAAAAAACATGCGAGGGGTATTTTTGCAGCTGTTGATTCAAATGACTTGAAAGTGACAACTTCTGATGGGTCGAATTGCATTTGCAAACAATAGCAACATATCGGCTATTTCCGTCAGTCAAGTTAGGAATAATAGGCGATTAGTTCCGAAGTTAAAGAAGCAGCACAATTCGGTACACGGTTCACTCGGTCATATAATAATGCCTATACTGATATTGTTACGAAATTACTCTTTTGTTGATTTCATATAACAGAAATCTGTATAAACACGATTTCACTGAAAAAGTATATGCTTTAGAACTCTAAATGTGTATAAAAGATAAGAAGTCCAAGTGAAAGCATGATAATAAGGTCAATTAAACTAATATAATGCATCTTTATCATATTATAACAACAGTGTAGTAAAAGCAAGTTACACTTAAACTACATCAGCTCATCAACTCAACAACAATCTCTTCAACTCCAATAAACTAAAAACAAGAGGGCCATGATGGCCCTGAGGTTGCTCACCTGTATATAGGCCCCCGGAGCCGGGTCAGTTTAAACCCCAGGGATTTTATTTGAACAAACTTGGAAGACACCCATTAGAAGATGTTTCATGATGTTAAGTTTTTACTACACACATAAAATGAAAAACAATGACCCCCCCCCCCCCCGCAAGGCCAATTTTAACCCAAGGGCTTTTATTTGAACAACTTGGTAGACACCCATAAGAAGATGTTTCATGCTAAACATCTACGCTCTAGCTCATTGGGTTTTTTAAAAAAGATTTTTTAAGTTTTTACTATACACATATAGTTAAAAACAATGACACCCATAGGGCGGGCCAGTTTTGACCCCAGGGCTTTTATTTGAACAAACTTTGTAGACACTTACAAGAAGATGTTTCATGCTTAATATCTAAACTCTAGCTATTTGGGTTTTTTCAAAGAAGATTTTTAAGTTTTTACTATACACATATAAGGAAATTCAATGACCCCCGGGGCGGGGCCAATTTTGACCCCAGGGCTTTTATTTGAACAACTTTGTAGACACTCACTAGAAGATGTTTCATGCTTAATATCTAAACTCTAGCTATTTGGGTTTTTTCAAAGAAGATTTTTAAGTTTTTACTATACACATATAAGGAAATTCAATGACCCCCGGGGCGGGGCCAATTTTGACCCCAGGGCTTTTATTTGAACAACTTTGTAGACACTCACTAGAAGATGTTTCATGCTAAATATCTTAGCTCTAGCTCTTTGAGTTCTTTAAAAGAAGATTTTTTAAGTTTTTACTATATGCATATAGGGAAAATCAATGATCCCCTGGGGCGGGGTCAATTTTGACCCCAGGGCTTTTATTTGAACAAACTTGGTAGACACTCACTAGAAGATGTTTCATGCCAAATATCTATGCTCTAGCTATTAGGGTTTTTTACAAGAAGATATTTAAAGTTTTTCTTTCGGTTGCCATGGCAACCAGAGTTCTGCATGGAATGGAATTCTTTGAACAACTTTGTTAAGGCTTCACACAAGGAACATCCCTGTGAAGTTTCATTATGATCTGCCTTATGGTTTCAGAGGAGATGTCGTTTCAAAAGTGTGAACGGACAACGGACGACGTACGACGGACGACGGACGACAGACGACGGACGAAGAGTGATCCTAATAGCTCACCCTGAGCATATGCTCAGGTGAGCTAAAAACCAATAAATTGAAAATTCCAAGCTAATATGCCCTTTGTTACCCACTTGCGGAAGCAACTCTGCTGAACTCCTTGCGCGACCTTAATGTTAGGGCTAAAATGCCTTAACAATGTTCAAAATGGCGTACAAGTGGTTCAGGTGAACAGACTGCTGTGAAATGCAAACATAATTTCAAAATATTTGCTCAATAGCGTAACTGTTTGTTCAACAATGCAACTTGGTGCAATATATATCATAAAGCAAATAGATTAATACTATTAATTAAAAGGATTGATATACTTTCATTCGATTGACAATTATTTAAACTAATTTACAGGAAAAGTTAACTGAGAAAATATCTTTTCCACCTTCACAAGATATAGCTGCTGAAGGGCTAAAAATATTACTTAAGTTTGCATGACCTCTTATTGCGTGATTTTTCCAAAAGTAGAACAAACATGGTTCGGAAAGCTGATCGTATGCGCGCGACATTTAGCTGCATGATCTTACCTTATGATCATACCTAAAAATAACTGGTCTGTACTGTTGTATTGTGCTACAAAATGAGAATTAAAAAATGTTGGCCAGATATACCATCCTAAAAAAATACTCCCGGTAGAGGACTTTTTTCAAGTTTCACAATATCGTTGCTATGATTTATGTTTACTGTTACTATTTTTCACAAAACAATAATCATTTCATATAGTTTAAAGAGTTATAAACAGAATGAACCACTGTCCGTTATGGCATAATTGCACAATTTAATTATTTATATTGTATAACTCTAATTTTATATTCTATACCATACTATTTATTCAATCCTACTGAATATTTGTTCACCATAAAAATATTTGTGTGCAATAATTTTCTATATATATGTTCTATATTTGAAAATATATATTGCATAATTAAAACTATTTATTGTAGTAATACTGAAAAATATTTATTCGATAATTTGAATCATGGAATAGAACACTTAGCATATTAAGCCCCGCCTATAAATTAAGCACGAATTTCTGATAAACCTAGACTATAGTGTAGTGGAAATGATCAGTGTCCCTGTGAATGTTACTTGTAAATAGTGCATACATGTATGCTAAAATCCTCCTTATAAATATACATGTATATGTATGTCTAAAAATGGAAATAGATTTTAAAGTCTTTAGGACATACGAGGGATAATCAAAAATATACCGGACTGGGGCTGTCAATTGAAGAATTTTCAAACTAAAACTTATTGTTAACTTATATATCACAATAAAAAGTCCTGAACACTATACCTATACAGTAAACTGATGCTATATCTAATTTGAAAGTACGTAATAGCGAATTTAAAAACCATGGCAACGCACACCCGGCGCAGTGCATAAATTTGCGCTGACAATAGGCACTTTATGAAGCGTATAATTTACAATATGGCACATTTGGATTTCA